CGGGCAGAGGCACCTTCCCCATTAAGGGTCCGGACATTCCAGGTGCATGCCCTCAAATCGTAGTCCTTTAAACATTTGCCGTGGTCGTCATCATAAGGGGGGGTCTCATCCGAGGCTTTGCCTTGCTTCTTCACTGGAAGTGGTTTTTACGTGGCGGGTCCCAAGCCCAGCGCACAACCCATTGCTGGGACGGGGGTGGTTTCGCAACCAAATACACGTTTATATAGCGAGCCGCTTGCTCCAAGCAGACACCCGCTTGCAGCCGCACCTACTGGTGAACAGACGCTGCAGACTTCAGTGAGCCCTTAAACCGAATAAGTCAGAGTGGCCCCACCGAAGCTCCCTCTCTTTCTGCCGTGACCCAAGGTTCCACTCGGATTGGTTACAGCATCTCGCACATGGGTTGCTCACATTTCCCAGAGTGCGCGAACGAGGACGCAAGAGTCGAGATTGAGTATAGCCATGCAACTGTAACTGCATACCCAGCGCAACGACTATACCCCATTAATGCCTTTCTAGCTTTCTATTTTCAGCTGACAACAATTTTTCTTCTTTATTTTCATGCGAAATTTTATTAAATGGCTTCTTATCAATTACTGAATAAGTGGATTCTATTTCTCCACAACTTCTTGTGTTAATCCATTTATGTTATATCTCACTTCATCCTCGTAATTTGAAGTAAAATGGCCAGTATATTCCTCGGCTGGTCTCAGGATTTTCTTGTCCCGAGCAATTATTTTCATCAATATAATATTTTTTTTTTATACATAGCTTTTAGATATTTGTCCGTCAGCGCGTCAGGTGGTTTGTCTTTAAAAATATATACCTCCTCAACTTGCTGGTCCGTGGCTTCAGCAGTCATTGTAGAATCACTTTGCCCTAAACTATCAAATACATTCAATATGCTAGTATTTCCATTTTGTTTAAAAAACTTTCTCTCTTTTTGCTGGTATTTATCTTCAGCGGGCGCCTTAGGATTTTGTGGTCCCAAGGGGTTTACATTTTCTGCATTTTTGCACTTTTTAAATTTTTTCTCTATATTGCCGGTAGCAACTTCGGCTGGCGCCTCATCTACATGTCTCGAGCTGTTAATTTCAATATCTAAATTGCCGGTAAATTCGTCGGCTGGCTCCTAGAACATCCTTGTTCCAAAGTAATTTTCTTCACTAATTTTTTATTGTTTTGTTTTTGATGGTATTTACCATCAGCGGGCATTTTAGGACTTTGTCCTACAATATGAATTTTATTTATTTTGGCGGTATTACTATCGGCTGGGGTTGTAGAATTTTTCGGTTCCACAGTATTAAAATTTTTTAACTTTGTTTCTTTATTATTTGGGGCTGACAAACTTTAACTTAAGAGTCGACTTTATTTCGTCTACGAATATGCCGCCATTGGAGTCAAATGAAAATGCATTTCCCACGCATACATATATCTATATGTACATGCTCCATTAATTAATTAAACATGCCCGAACAAAAGGGAACAGTTCAGTCCATACAAAGGGATGCAAAGTGGCATTATTCGCATACTCCTTTGCGAGTCATCCCGGACGCATCCCGGACTCGTCGCATTTTTTGCAGGGTTGCGACTCATCCCGGACCCGTCGCATTTTTTGCAGGGAATCGATAACGTTTTTACATGCATATATAAGTACGTACGTACATATGTGTATATTGCTGCTTAAATACTACGCTCATATGTACAAATGTACATATGTACAACTCACGGCAGCATAAAAGCATGCGCGTATTTCTCAAGGCCAAGATCATTCATTCATAAATACTACAGCAGCACATCTCCCCGCAAATTCATCACCAACAAGCGCAACTTTGCAATCCGACACAAAAATTCTAAAATGTGAAATTGATGAAATCTCGGCGAGACAAGTGAAAAGTGGCAATTATTTCTCCATATCCAGTAAAATATGTTATCTCGAATTTTTGGTAATTTTTGACAAAACACTCAATTTCTCTGTTCCCTTCCAATATTTTAACCACTAACTAGTATTTTAAGGTGTAATTTTAATAAACATTAAATAAAAGTGTACGTTTTCTGCAGGAAAATACATTACTTTTTTTTAATAAAATCAAAACTTCTAAAATCACAAACATATGTGGTTTTATCGGAAGTTCACAACTTAGCTCGTTTTCACATTTTTCGGTCCGAAATTGTAAAATTTTTGTCCATGACGCGCCACGATTTTTGTACACGTGGGTCAATGTGTCTTGAACACCATTTGTATAANAATGCCTTTCTAGCTTTCTATTTTCAGCTGACAACAATTTTTCTTCTTTATTTTCATGCGAAATTTTATTAAATGGCTTCTTATCAATTACTGAATAAGTGGATTCTATTTCTCCACAACTTCTTGTGTTAATCCATTTATGTTATATCTCACTTCATCCTCGTAATTTGAAGTAAAATGGCCAGTATATTCCTCGGCTGGTCTCAGGATTTTCTTGTCCCGAGCAATTATTTTCATCAATATAATATTTTTTTTTTATACATAGCTTTTAGATATTTGTCCGTCAGCGCGTCAGGTGGTTTGTCTTTAAAAATATATACCTCCTCAACTTGCTGGTCCGTGGCTTCAGCAGTCATTGTAGAATCACTTTGCCCTAAACTATCAAATACATTCAATATGCTAGTATTTCCATTTTGTTTAAAAAACTTTCTCTCTTTTTGCTGGTATTTATCTTCAGCGGGCGCCTTAGGATTTTGTGGTCCCAAGGGGTTTACATTTTCTGCATTTTTGCACTTTTTAAATTTTTTCTCTATATTGCCGGTAGCAACTTCGGCTGGCGCCTCATCTACATGTCTCGAGCTGTTAATTTCAATATCTAAATTGCCGGTAAATTCGTCGGCTGGCTCCTAGAACATCCTTGTTCCAAAGTAATTTTCTTCACTAATTTTTTATTGTTTTGTTTTTGCTGGTATTTACCATCAGCGGGCATTTTAGGACTTTGTCCTACAATATGAATTTTATTTATTTTGGCGGTATTACTATCGGCTGGGGTTGTAGAATTTTTCGGTTCCACAGTATTAAAATTTTTTAACTTTGTTTCTTTATTATTTGGGGCTGACAAACTTTAACTTAAGAGTCGACTTTATTTCGTCTACGAATATGCCGCCATTGGAGTCAAATGAAAATGCATTTCCCACGCATACATATATCTATATGTACATGCTCCATTAATTAATTAAACATGCCCGAACAAAAGGGAACAGTTCAGTCCATACAAAGGGATGCAAAGTGGCATTATTCGCAGACTCCTTTGCGAGTCATCCCGGACGCATCCCGGACTCGTCGCATTTTTTGCAGGGTTGCGACTCATCCCGGACCCGTCGCATTTTTTGCAGGGAATCGATAACGTTTTTACATGCATATATAAGTACGTACGTACATATGTGTATATTGCTGCTTAAATACTACGCTCATATGTACAAATGTACATATGTACAACTCACGGCAGCATAAAAGCATGCGCGTATTTCTCAAGGCCAAGATCATTCATTCATAAATACTACAGCAGCACATCTCCCCGCAAATTCATCACCAACAAGCGCAACTTTGCAATCCGACACAAAAATTCTAAAATGTGAAATTGATGAAATCTCGGCGAGACAAGTGAAAAGTGGCAATTATTTCTCCATATCCAGTAAAATATGTTATCTCGAATTTTGGTAATTTTTGACAAAACACTCAATTTCTCTGTTCCCTTCCAATATTTTAACCACTAACTAGTATTTTAAGGTGTAATTTTGATAAACATTAAATAAAAGTGTACGTTTTCTGCAGGAAAATACATTACTTTTTTTTAATAAAATCAAAACTTCTAAAATCACAAACATATGTGGT